AGAGTGGGGTCCTTGGTGCTCTCTGAGCTGGGTGGTTTTCTTGCAGATGTTCCATAACCAGATTTATCCCAAAGGTGCTTTTCAAAAGCCAACTAGACTTTCTTGTTTTTTTTCCCCTTGAAAAAGGTTCGCTGCTCATATGAAGAACTGAACTGAAGCTTCTTGGGTGAAAAGTTATAAACATTTTCCAGGAAAAAAAACAAACAAACCCCAAAACAAGAAAGTCCAATTTTGGGACAGCCGTGACCTGGATGATTGAGAATCTCCATAGATAGACAAACTAGGTGACATCAGCCTCGCCCCCTTATAGCACTGATGAAGTTACCTAGCTGGCTCATGAAATGTCTGCAAGAAAACCACCTGGCTCAGCTGCTTCAATTAATGTAGGAATCCAAAGATCGTAGCTCTCAGGAAGGGGATGAGATTTCACAAACCCACCCCGTCCCAACTTGGGGCTCAATATCATTTCAGTGATGCTGACCATGTTTTTTCTCTTGCATTCGTCAGAAGAGATCTTCTTACACACAATGCGTTCTGACAGGTAACAGAATAATAACAGAGCTGGAAGGAACCTTGGAGGTCATCTAGTCCAACCCCCTGGTCATGCAGGAAACCCTGTACCATTTCAGACAAACGGCTGTCTGGTCTCTTCTTAAAAACTTCCAGTATTGGAGCATTCACCGCTTCTGGAGGCAGGTTGTTCCACTGGCTAATTGTTCTCACTGTCAGGAAATTTCCACTTAGTTCTAGGTTGCTTCTCTCCTTGATGAGTTTCCATCCGTTGCTTCTTGTCCTGCCTTCAGGTCCTTTGGAGAATAGGTGGACACCCCCTCTTCTTTGGGGCAGCCCCTGAAGTATGGGAATACTACTATCATGTCACCCCTGGTCTTTCTTTTCTCTAAACCGGTGGTTCTCAACCTGTGGGTTGGGACCCCATTTGGGGTCGAACGACCATTTCACGGGGGTCGCCAAACAACGCAGTCCGCCATTTTTCCCCCCCTTTTCCTTAGCTGTGCTACTCCCTTTTATTCTATTGGCTTTTGAAAGCCAATAGAATAGACTCTCTTGAATAGAGTCTAATTCTATTGGCTTTCAAAAGCCAATAGGAATGGTCCAGGCTGTCTCTGCCCTGCTGAGCCCGCCAAAAGTCCCATTCTGCAAACGGTGCTGCACCAGCTGAGTAGTTCTCAACTTACAACCAGTTGAGTAGTCCTCGACTTACGACCGGTTGGGGGTCATGGCATTAAAAAGGTTGAGAACCACTGCTCTAAACTGACTAGTTTGATTGGTTTGATTAGTCTCTTCTTAAAAACCTCCAGTGGTGGAACACCCACAATTTCTGGAGGCAAGTTGTTCCACTGGTTAATTGTTTTCACTGTCAGGAGGTTTCCACTTAATTCCAGGTTGCTTCTCTCTTTGATGAGTTTCCATCCATTGTTTCTTGTCCTGCCTTCAGGTGCTTTGGAAAATAGGTGGACCCCCTTTCTTCTTTGGGGCAGCCCTGAGATATTGGAAGGCTGCTATCATGTTACCCTTCCTCTTTCTCTTCATTAAACTAGACCAGGGGTAGTCATCCTTGGCTCTTTTATGACTTGTGGACTTCAACTCCCAGAATTCCTGAGCCAGTCATGCTGAGGGGAAAGGGAGAGATTTCCAAGCTGAGCCATGCTGGCTCAGGAATTCTGGGAGTTGAAGTCCACGAGTCATGAGGGGGCCATAGTTCCCCCATGCTGGCTCAGGAATTCTGGGAGTTGAAGTCCACCAGTCATAAAAGAGCCAAGGTTGCCTTCCCTTGAGATAAACATACCCAATTCCAGCAACCGTTCTTCATATGTTTTAGCTTCCCGTCCCCTGAACATCTTTGTTGTTCTTCTCTGCACTCTTCCTAGAGCAGTGGTTCTCAACCTTTTTAATGCCACGACCCCCAACCGGTCGTAAGTCGAGGACTATTCAACCGATCGTAAGTCGAGGACTACTCAACTGGTGCAGAATGGGACTTTTGGTGGGCTCAGCAGGGCAGAGACAGCCTGGACAATTCCTATTGGCTTTTGAAAGCCAATGGAATTAGACTCTATTCAAGAGAGTCTATTCTATTGGCTTTCAAAAGCCAATAGAATAAAAGGGAGTAGCACAGCTAAGGAAAAGGGGAAAAAATGGCGGACTGCGTTGTTTGGCGACCCCCGTGAAATGGTCGTTCGACCCCAAATGGGGTCCCAAACCACAGGTTGAGAACCACTGGACTAGAGTCTCCACATCTTTTCTTATATCCTGGAGACCAAAACTGATTAGGCAAAGAAATGATAGATCTCTTTCCCTCTAAACTGGCCAGTTCCTGAGACTGGCCATGATTCCTCTAGACCAGAGGACCCCAACCTTTTGGGCACCAGGGACCGGTTCCATGGAGATAGATTTTTCCACGGACCGCAGAGCGCGTGGTTTCGTGTGCTGCCTGCATCCCGCGGATGGGGCTTAGCTTGTTCGTGCGGCCCGGCCCAGTTGCTGGCATGCCGTGGCCCGGTACCGGTTTACGGATCGGGGAGGGGGGTTGGGAGACTCCTGCTTTAAAGGACAAAGGTCTTCAGTAGATTGCAATGCTGTGTACAGACGTGCAACTCTTCCTAAATGAAGGGAAGCCGGGAAATGGCTAAGCTGGAAAACAGACGTTTCCTGCCACCGGAGGCCTTCTGGTGATAACGTGGTTATATCAAGGAAATGGGGAAGGAACGCAGGTGGTGGGGGGGAGAGACTTCCAGCCACATCCTCTGCTGGGGGAACTGAGTGAAGCATGATGGGAACTGGGGTCTTTTTTTTTTTGAGGGGGGGGGAGGGTGGGTAAATCCAGGAAAAGACCCCGATTTTAGGCCTTCCAGTTTTCCCAAGCTGGACATTTACAGGTCATCCTTATCAAATCAAATCAAATCAACCTTTATTGTCAAAGTACAACATGTGTACAATGAGATTGGCTGAGCCTCCCTTTGTGCACCCCCCCCCCAACACAACTTAATAGCGACAACACACACACATTCTTATTGCACCGTGTGAACTTATTGCACAACGCGCCGGCCCCACAAGTCTATCATACGTAGGACCACAACTGAGCCCCAGATTTTTGTGGCTAAGTGAAATGTTTGTTAAGCGGGTTTTGCCCCATTTTACAACCTTTTCTCGACGCAGTCCTTAAGCGAATCCCTCTGGTGGTTAAATTAGTAGCACGTTTGTTAAGCCAATCTGGCTTCCCCATTTGACGTTGCTTGTCAGAAGGTCACCCAGGACACTGTGACTGTCATAAATGTGAGTCCGTTGCCCAGTGTCCGATGTGATGCTGGAGCAACGGTTGTAAGTGTGAAAAACAGTCATTTTTTTAAAAAAAGTGTGGTTGTAACTTCCAACCGTCGCTCAATGAATGGTTGTGACTTAAGGACTAGCTGCATTGCTAAGCGAGACACGTTTAAGCGAGAGTTTTCCCCCCGGTTTGTGACCTTCCTTGCCAGCGTTGTTAAGTGAATCACTGCCCTTGCTAAGTTACTTTCCCGGTTGTTAAGTGGATCCAGCTTCATCAGAAGATCGCAAAAGGAGATCACGTGACCCACCCCCTCCATGGACTCTGCAACCCTCACAAGTACATGCCAGTTTCCGAGCCTTTGGATTTTTGATCACGTGACCGTCGGGATGCTGCGACGGTCATTAAGTGTGAAAAAAGGGTCACAAGTGACTTTTTCCAGCAGTGCCTTTGCAACTTCCAATGAGTGAATCCAGAATTTGCTCCCATTTACAACAGTAATTCAGGTTTTTTTTTTTTTGCACACCATGATTACCCTCCAGGGCTGGCTTGACCTCTTTATGATGAAGATGGCATGTAGGCAGCGTGGCATGGAAAAGATTGTGTGTCTCTCCATGTGTTGTGTTGTGTTGTGTTTTCAGCCTCCAGGCCCATATACAAGCGCCTCTCTCTTTGAATATTGTTTGCCGGAAAACCCATTTTAATTTTGTTTTTATTTATTTTTTTTCCCTCTTGTCTCTTGCAATCAGCCCAAGGAAGTTTTGCTTGCCTGGGCAGATCCCTTTTGATCTGGGAACCTCTGCAGGATCAAGGCAAAGAACTGGAGGCTTTGTTCCTCCCCCTTCCCTCCCCTCCCCCAAACACACAAGGGCTCACTTCCTACTTCCCTTTTTGCCTGGCCTTTGTGAGTCCTGGGATCGGGGAGTGGTGCCCCCCTTTAAAATAATCAACTGAAAGTTTGTTTTGGGGGGGCAGTGGAATTAAGACCCTTTTAACTTTCGCAGGAGGTTGCAGTCTTTGCCAATAAGCGTTAACTGTAGCAACCTTAAGATGAGTGGACGTCAACTCCCAGAATTCCTCAGCCAGCATGGCTGGCTGAGGAATTCTGGGAGTTGTGATCCACCCAACTTAATAGCGGCTAAGTTTGAAGATGAGTGGACTTCAACTCCCAGAATTCCTCAGCCAGCCATATGTTGAAGTCAACCTACCTTAAAGTGGCAAAAGGTTGGAAACGCTAGTCTAAATAGGCTAGCATCGAGATTTTGCTTAAGAGTTGAAGCCCACCCATGTTAAAAGATGCTGGCTGGGAAATTCTGGGAGTGGAAGTCCAAACATATTAAAGCATGCTGGCTGGGGAATTCTGGGATTGGAAGTCCACCCCTTTTGAAGCATGCTGGCTGGGGAATTCTGGGAGTTGAAGTCCACCCCTCTTAAAGCATAATGGCTGGGGAATTCTGGGATTTGAAGTTCCCCCATTTTAAGGCCTGCTGGCTGGGGAATTCTGGGAGTTGACGTCCACACATATTAAAGCATGCTGGCTGGGGAATTCTGGGATTGGAAGTCCACCCCTCTTAAAGCACACTGGCTGGGGAATTCTGGGAGTTGAACCCCCATCTTCAAGCGTGGCTGGCTGGGGAATTCTGGGAGTTGAAATTTGACTCAACTTGCAAAAAACTCTTAAAATGGGAACATAGCCCCTGTGGGGGTGAATGCTCTTAAACTGGGATCAAAGAAAATGGCAGATCTTTGTCGTGTTGAGTGTCAGTGGGTGAAATCTGGGTTTGGCTCAAGGTTGTCTTCCTGGAAAATCTCTCCGGCAGTTGAGAAGATGAAGCGAGAGAAGAACGCCAGCTGGACGATGGAGGGGGAGGAAGATCTGGTCTTGGTCAACGGGAACTGCAGCGACTCGGACCCTCCCCCCGAGGAGAAAGACCACACAGGTATCTCTGCGGCCCAGAGGCCATCAAGGGTTGGGGCAGCCTGGAGCTCCCTCTTTGCTCCTGTGGTCATTAGTCCGGTTCTGGAAGATGGGTGGGCTGGGCTTGCCTTGGTCTGGAGCAGGGGTAGGCAACCTTGGCTCTTTTATGACTCGTGGACTTCAATTCCCAGAATTCCTGAGCCAGCATGGCTGAGCTTGGAAACCTCTCCCTTTCCCCTCAGCGTGGCTGGCTCAGGAATTCTGGGAGTTGGAGTCCACCAGATGAGGGGGCCATAGTTCTCCCATGCTGGCTCAGGAATTCTGAGAGTTGAAGCCCACCAGTCATGAGGGGGCCATAGTTCCCCCATGCTGGCTCAGGAATTCTGGGAGTTGAAGTCCACGAGTCATAAAAGAGCCAAGGTGGCCTATCCCTGGTCTGGAGGATAAGAGGGAGGGAAGGAAGGAAGGAAGGAAGGAAGGAGGGAGGGAAGGAAGGAAGGAAGGAAGGAAGGAGGGAGGGAAGGAAGGAAGGAAGGAGAGAGAAGGGATGGAGGATAAATAGGAGTGGTTGGAAAGAAGGGAAGGGAGGAAGGAAGGATAAAGAGGGAGGAAGAAAGGAAGAAAACAAGAGGGAGCAAGAATAAAGAGGAAGAGGGAGAAGGAAGGAAGGAGGGATAAAGGGAGGAAGAAATGAAGGAGGGAGAAGGTAGGAAGGAAGGAGAATGGCAGAAGGAAGGATAAAGTGATGGAGGAAGAAAGGAAGAAAAGAGAAGGGAGAGAGGGAGAAGGAAGGAAAGATAAAGAGAGGGAGGAAGGAAGGAAGGAGAATGGCAGAGATTTGGCTTCATGACCCTGGGCATGACAAGCTTGTCAAATTGGGTGCGACTCTGATAACAACCATCTCACTTAGCGACAGAAGATCTGGCTCCACAATGGTGTTTGTAAGTGGAGCACCACCCGCATTTTGTGAATCCAGGAACTGCCTCCAGAGAGTTGCAGGCACGTGGGGCATCCGATGGGCTTCAGAACTAGACATCTACAATTGCAGGGAAGAAGAAGAAAAAGAAGGAGAAGAAGAAGGGTGGGAGACCACCAGGAGATCTTTGAGTGCCGTCAGCTCGGCAGGCAGGCCGGCGAGCAGGAGTGGGAACTTCCAGGGCTGAAATCCTTGGGGAAAAACCAAATTCGTTGAACTGGCTTAGAACTGGGAAGGTGTCCGGGTTTGTGGTTCACCCTGGGCGGGTTCCTGCAGAAAGGAAGTCGCGGGTGTCAAAAACGCCAGGTGCGGCACCTGTTGACTGACAATTCCTTTGCACAGATGCCAGCCAGGCGGAAAGTGTGACTTTCCAGACAAAGAAGGAGGAGGAGGAAGAGGCTGATGACATCCCCAAGCAAGGCTGGGAGGTGAGCCAAGGACAGGTGTGCCGTCCAACGCCAGGATGCCCCAGTTTGGGAGAACCAGTTTGGGCACCAGGCTAGAGAGAGGGAGATTGTGAGTTCTAGTCCTGCCTTAAGGACGAAAGCTGGCCGGGTAACTTTGGGCCAATTACCAGGAGACGTTGAGTTCTAGTTCCGCGTTAGGCACGAAAGCCGTCTGGGTGACATTCGGCAAATCACTGGGAGATGGGCGTTCTAGTCCCACCTTAGGGTGACTTTGGGCCAATCACCAGGAGACGGTGAGTTCTAGTTCCGCGTTAGGCACGAAAGCCATTTGGTTGACACTGGGCGAATCAGCGGGAGATGGTGAGTTTTAGTACTGCCTTAGGCACCAAAGCCAGCTTTGGGCCAGTCACCAGGAGATGAGAGTTCTAGTCCCGCCTTAGGTATGAAAGATGGCTGGATGACTTTGGGCCAATCACCAGGTGATGGTGAATTCTAGTCCCGTAATTAGGCACGAAAGCCACTTGGGTGACATTGGGCGAATCACCGGGAGATGGTGAGTTTTAGTACTTCCTTAGGCACAAAAGCCAGCTGGGTGACTTTGGACCAATCACCAGGAGACTGTGAGTTCTAGTCCCACCTTAGCCCTGAAAGCCAGCTGGGTGACTTTGGGCCAGTCACCAGGAGATGGTGAGTTCTAGTCCTGCCTTAGCCACAGAAGCCAGCTACATGACTTTGGGCCAGTCCCTCTCTCACCCCAGCCCACCCCACCCCACAGGGCTGTTGTGTGGAAAATATGTGTGTCAAATATGTTTTTTGAAAAATAATAAAGACGGGCTTACAAATAAATAAAGGAATGTCCGTATAATTCATGGGTTTTTGGGGAGCACTAGAAACTGATTTTTCCCTGGGAGTGACGTTTTGGGGCCTAATCTTCCCATTTCCGATGAGAGGAAGGCTAGAATTTAAGGGACCCCTATTCTCTCGGTTTGGGGGTCCAGGTGCTTGGATCCTAATGCTTTTCTCTCCCCCTTTTTTTTGGGTGGTTTTCCAGATCCCGTTGCGAGGAAACGCCGGCTGGGAGAACAGCCTGAGACAGAAACCGCCGCCCCGGATCGTCTTCCAGGCTGGGCCCGCTTCGCAGGACAGGAAGCCCAAAGACGACGTAGAAAGCATAGAAGGTTTCAAAGAACGTCACAAAATCAGGGTAGGTGGGGGGGTCTCCTTTTTTTGAATTTAACTCAAAACCAAGGAGAAGAATACAGTCAGTCCTCGTATTACAACAACTCGTTTAGCGACCGTTCAAAATTACGACGGCACTGAAAAAGGGGACTTAGGACCGTTTTTCACGCTTAACGGCCGTGGCAGCCTGCCCCATAGTCACGGGATCAAAATTCAGATCCTTGGCCACTGATTCGTATTTATGACGGTCGCAGGGCCCCCGGAGGTCACGTGATTCCCTCCCCCTTTGTGACTTTCTGACAACCACACAACTCAGCAACCACACAACTGATTCAATTAACAGCCTTAAAAAGGGGGGAGAACATCCCTTAACAAGCGTCTCGCTTAGCAGCGTAATTTTTTTGGCTTCATCGTGGTCATAAGTTGAGGATGACCTGTATGCAACCTTATAAAAGCAGCCGGAAAAGAATGGAGGAAAAAGTCCTCGTTTTATGACCATTCATTTAGCAACCAGTGGAAGTTCTGATAGACTTATCTGGGGAGGGTACATGCAAAGTGGATTTGATGTTCCAATGGTCCAAGCCCCCTCCCATTCAAATGACCCCCATATGGGTGCTTAGCCATGCCACCTTCCTAGTCCTTTGCAGCATCTCGCAAATTATGACCACGTTTTATGACGGTTTTGCCTAAAACTAGAAATAAACGCCGCTTAATAGATAAGAGCCAGCCGTGTGCTCCAACTGCCAAAAGAGCCAGCACAGTGCTGGGCTGCATTAACAGAGGGATAGAATCAGGATCACGTGAAGTGTTAATACCACTTTACAAGGCCTTGGTAAGGCCACACTTGGAATACTGCATCCAGTTTTGGTCACCACAATGTAAAAAAGATGTTGAGACTCTAGAACAGTGGTTCTCAACCTGTGGGTTGGGACCCCATTTGGGGTCGAACGACCATTTCACGGGGGTCGCCAAACAACGTAGTCCACCATTTCCCCCCCCCCCTTTTCCTTAGCTGTGCTACTCCCTTTTATTCTATTGGCTTTTGAAAGCCAATAGAATAGACTCTCTTGAATAGAGTCTAATTCTATTGGCTGTCAAAAGCCAATAGGAATTGTCCAGGCTGTCTCTGCCCTGCTGAGCCCGCCAAAAGCCCCATTCTGCAAACGATGCTGCACCAGTTGAGTAGTCCTCGACTTACGACCGGTTGAGTAGACCTCGACTTACGACCGGTTGGGGGTCGCGGTATTAAAAAGGTTGAGAACCACTGCTCTAGAAAGAGTGCAGAGAAGAGCCACAAAGATGATCAGGGCACTGGAGGCTAAAACATATAAGGAACGGTTGCTGGAATCGGGTTGGTCTATTTCAGGGATAGGCCACCTTGGCTCTTTTATGACTGGTGGACTTCAACTCCCAGAATTCCTGAGCCAGCATGGCTCAGATTGGAAACCTCTCCCTTTGCCCTCAGCATGGCTGCCTCAGGAATTCTGGGAGTTGAAGTCCACGAGTCATAAAAGAGCCGAGCTTGCCTACCCCGGTCGTTAAGTGAATCCAGATTCCCCATTGACTTTGCTTGTCAGAAGGTTGCAAAAGGGGATCACGTGACCCCAGGGGACACGGCGACCGTCATAAACATGAGTCGATTGCCAAGTATCTGAATTTTGATCACGTGACCACAGGAGATGCTGCAACAGTCTTAGACATGGAAGCCGGCTGTGTGACTTTGGGCCATCACCAGGCGACGATGAGTTCTAGTCTCATCGTAGTCATGAAACCCAGCTGTGTGACTTTGGGCCAATCATCAGGAGATGCTGGGTTCTAGTTCTAGCATGGCTGGCTGGGGAATTCTGGGAGTTGGATGTCCACACAGCGTAAAGTTGCCAAGGTTGCAGACCCCTGCTCAAGAGGAGATGAGAGGGTCGTTTGGCAGGGTTTGTTTTTTGATCGAGTCACCCTCCTTCTGTCTCTTTCGCGTCGTTTCTGCGGAGCGTACTCATTTTTTCCCCTTCCTTCCCAGCACTCCAAGAGGCTTTCTGGATTTCTCCAGAAAAACTACTCCGAAGAGGAGATTTCCAAGCAGAAGGAGAACACCCAGGTCCCGAACGGCTGTGAATACCGAACATTGAGAAAGATGGAAGAATATCAGGTGGGAGCACACCGGGGGTGGGCTTCGGGAGCGAATTTAACCATCTTTAAAGGAGACGCCCCCTGTTGTTATTGGCAGAAATGAGGGGCGTCCAAAACGGTTTCAAGATTTAAGTTTTAGCCAAACATCCACTCCTTCTTCAGGCAGTCCTTGACTTACGACGACAATTGAGAGCAAAATTTGTGTTGTTGAGACACACGTTCGTTGAGTTTTGCCCCTCATTTTACGACCTTTCTCGCCACAATTGTTAAGGGAATCCCTGCAGTTGTTAAGTGAGTCACAACGGTTGTTCAGTGAATTTGGCTTCCCCCACTGACTTGGCTTGTCGGAAGGTCGCAAAAGGGGATGACGTGACCGCTGGGGACGCTGTGCAACCGTCATAACTACGAGTCAGTTGCCAAGTGGCGGAAATCTGATCCCAGGATGATGGGATAATGCAGGAACGGTCGTAAGTGTAAAAAACGCTCACAAGTCCCTTTTTTCAGTGCCGTGGTAACTTTGAACGGTTACTAAAGGAACGGTTGTAAGTCGAGGACTACCTGTGAATGGATAAGCCATCCTGAACATCCAGTTTAAAAATGGAGAACTCTGATCTGGATCCTGATGTAGCGCTGTTCCAGGGGTAGGCAACCTCGGCTCTTTTATGACTCATGGACTTCAACTCCCAGAATTCCTCAGCCAACATGGCTCAGCTTGGAAACCTCTCCCTTTCCCCTCAGCGTGGCTGGCTCAGGAATTCTGGGAGTTGAAGTCCACCATTTATAAAAGAGCCGAGGTTGCCTACCCCTGCTCAAATGCCTGAATTTTGATCACGTGACCATGAGGAAAAATATTTAAATGTTTAAACCAGGGGTCTTCAAACTTGGCCCTTTTATGACTCGTGGACTTCAACTCCCAGAATTCCTGAGCCAGCATGGGGGAACTATGGCCCCCTCATGACTCGTGGACTTCAATTCCCAGAATTCCTGAGCCAGCATGGGGGAACTATGGCCCCCTCATGACTCGTGGACTTCAATTCCCAGAATTCCTGAGCCAGCATGGGGGAATTATGGCCCCCTCATGACTCATGGACTTCAACTCCCAGAATTCCTGAGCCAACGTGGCTCAGCTTGGAAACCTCTCCCTTTCCCCTCAGCATGGCTGGCTCAGGAATTCTGGGAAAGTCCAGGAGTCATAAAAGAAGCAAGGTTGCCTACCCCTGCCTAAATGCCTGAATTTTGATCACGTGACCATGAGGAAAAATATTTAAATATTTAAACCAGGGGGGGGCTTCAAACCTGCCCCTTTGATGTCTGGTGGACTTCAACTCCCAGAATTCCTGAGCCAACTTGACTCAGCATGGAAACCTCTCCCTTTCCCCTCAGCATGGCTGGCTGAGGAATTCTGGGAGTTGAAGTCCACCAGTCATAAAAGAGCCCAGGTGGCCTACCCCTGTGGCTGTTCCAATATGGAAATTGAAGATACATTATGTCTGCAGCATTTCCCCAATCTATTTAAAGAAGCGATCCGGTCGAAAAATAAGATGCGCTTAACTCTTGATAAATCCACGCTGCCTTCTGGGAATTTCTGCCTAATTTTTAAGGGGCTTCTTGATTGAATTCTGTATGGTCTGTGGTAAAATCTTCCCAAATATTGATAAAGAGAGTTTTGTCTAATGGTTTAGGCTAGAAAATGGGAGACGGTGAGTTCTAGTCCCGCCTTAGGCATGAAAGCCAGCTGGCTAACTTTGGGCCAATCACCAGGAGACGGTGAGTTCTAGTCCTGCCTTAGGCATGAAAGCCAGCTGGGTGACTTTGGGACAATCACCAGGAGACGGTGAGTTCTAGTCCCGCCTTAGGCTTGAAAGCCAGCTGGCTAACTTTGGGCCAATCCCCAGGAGACGGTGAATTCTAGTCCTGCCTTAGGCATGGAAGCTGGCTGGGTGACTTTAGGCCAGTTACCTGGAGATTGTGAGTTCCAGTCCCGTTTCAGGCATGACGGGATTGGCATGGGCCAATCACCAGGAGACATTGAATTCTAGTCCACACCTTAGACATGAAGGCTGGCTGGGTGACTATGAGTAAATCACCAGGAGATGGTGAGTTCTAATCCCGCCTTAGACATGAAATCTGTCTGGGTGACTTTGGGCTAATCACTAGGAGATGGTGAATTCTAGTCGTACCTTACACATGAAGCCCAGGTGGATGACTTTGGGCTGATCACTAGGAGACGGTGAATTCTAGTCGTACCTTACACATGAAGCCCAGGTGGATGACTTTGGGCTAATCACTAGGAGATGGTGAATTCTAGTCGTACCTTACACATGAAGCCCAGGTGGATGACTTTGGGCTGATCACTAGGAGACGGTGAATTCTAGTCCTGCCTAAGGCACAAACGTCAGCTGAATGACATTGCGCCAGTGACCGGGAACCGGTGAGTTCTAGTTTTGCCTTAAGTATGAAAGCCAGCTGAACGACTTTGGGCCAATCAATCTCTCTCAGCCCAATGCTGTGATTGTGATTGTGGAGAAACTAAGGGGAAGAAGAAGTCATGTTTGTGTGTTCGCTTCCTGGAGTTGTTTGTAAAAATAATAAAGGCGGGAACTAAATAAAGTAAATAACAAATGAAATGAATGAATAAGTAACGCACTAAATAACGAGGTAAATAACCCAAAGAATAGCAAAATAAACAACCAGAAGAATCACCAAAAGAATAGCAAAATAAATAACAAAAAAAGAATAACCCAAAGAAGAGCAAAATAAATAACCAAAAGAATAACAAAATAAATAACAAATACAATAAATAACTTGATGCTGCACCCTTGGTCAGAACTGGCCCGTGGCTTCCAGCAAGGCTGGACCTGGAAAACAAATAGTCCAGTCCTTACTCACCAGCTTCTTGATCTGAGTAGTTGGCTTTTATTCACTGATTAAATTTATATCCCGCTTATCAGCCTGCCCAGCATTTGGAAGCTGTAGGGCTGCCCTCTAACCCGAACTGACCTTTCCTATTCATCCTTCCCCTTCATTCTGTTTTGATTTGCAGGACGGGAAAGGCTTTGGGTTCGGAGAACTGGTCTGGGGGAAGATCAAAGGCTTTTCTTGGTGGCCGGCCATCGTGGTGTCCTGGAAGACCACCTCCAACCGCCAGGCGGCCCCCGGCATGCGCTGGGTGAAATGGTTTGGGGACGGAAAGTTTTCGGAGGTGAGGGGCGTGGAAGGGGAGGTGGGCTGGCTGGGAAGAGGGTCAGCCCCTTGGCTCTCTCATCGGACGAATCTACCATTTTCTTAGCCGTGGTTTGTGGAATAGAAAGGCAACCAGCTGGGTTCGGATACATTAAACACAGGGGTCTTCAAACGTGGCCCTTTGATGACTTGTGAACTTCAACTCCCAGAATTCCTCAACCAGCCTCCATTTTGTTTGTTAGATTTAAGGCAGGGTCTTCAAACGTGGCCCTTTGATGACTGGTGGACTTCAACTCCCAGAATTCCTCAACCAGCCTCCATTTTGTTTGTTAGATTTAAGGCAGAGTCTTCAAATGTGGCCCTTTGATGACTAGGGGACTTCAACTCCCAGAATTCCTCAACCAGCCTCCATTTTGTTTGTTACATTTAAGACAGGGTCTTCAAACGTGGCCCTTTGATGACGTGTGGACTTCAACTCCCAGAATTCCTCAGCCAGCGTGCCTGGCTGAGGAATTCTGGGAGTTGAAGTCCACACGTCATCAAAGGGCCAAGTTGGAAGACCCCTGCTATAGAATATATGGCAGGTATGAGTATTTTGAGGAAATCTTGAAGGAACATTCTGGAAAAAAAGAGTAGAGAGAGGCCTAGTTCAGATTTTTGTTGGCCGTTTTGTGACTCCGTGGCTGGAAGAGAGGTAATTATCACTAAATGTAGAACAAGGGTAAGATTTCTGCCTTTTTCCCCCCTCATAAAGAATCTAATATAGGTATGTAGTCCTAAACCAGGGGTCTTCAAAGGTGGCCCTTTGATGACTGTTGGACTTCAACTCCCAGAATTCCTCAGCCAGGCATGCCTAACTGAGGAATTCTGGGAGTTGAAGTCCACCAGTCATAAAAGGTCCACATTTGAAGACCCCCTGCGTGAAACCACAAATTGTGGTTTGCAAATCGCTGTTTGTAACCAAACCGCATTGCGGAACCCAACCGTAAGCAATTTTCAAACTCCCCAATGTATTTTTCATATATTTTTCAAGAAAGCTTGCAGTCGGTTTATTGACTTTGAGAATAAATTGTACGGAAAAGTGCTTTTGCTTTTCAAGTCATGACCAGAATCCAGGAAGCAGGGGTGTGTGTGTGTGTGGGGGGTGTCTCTGGAAGTTAAAGTCCACCAGTCATAAAAGGGCCAAGTTTGAAGACCCCTGCAATAACTCATCTCAGAAATGCGGGGGAAATTCACAAGTTGATCCCTAGCCAGGAGAACATCACCTGGTTGATCCTCTGTTTCTCCAAATAGAGGCGCCACCAGATCAATCCCAGATTTAGGGAGTTGAGGATGCTACCGTGGGGAGGGCTCTTTTCTGGAACGGCGGGGATAAAGGGACGAAGATTGACCAGCCCTTGTCTCCTCGTTGCAGATCTCCGCTGAGAAATTGGTGGGGCTGGTGAACTTCCAGGACCATTTTAACCCCACCACGTTTCAGAAGTTGGTGTCCTACCGGCAATCCATTCTCCACGTTTTGGAGGTGAGAAGGGGGTGGGTGCAAAGGTGGGTTAGCATGAGAGATGGTGGTTTAGCATGTGGATGACGGGGTGATGCCTATCGGGCACAGAATGGGTAGCTGTAAGCCATTTGGCATCAATGTAGGTAGCATCTGTGGGCTCATTGATGCGCTATTGTTCTCTTGCAGATGTTTCATGACTCAACTAGGGAATATCAGTGCTGGAAGGGAATGGGATATGTGAAATGTAGGGGAGGAGGAGGAGGAGGAGGAGGAGGAGGAGGAGGAGGAGGAGGAGGAGGAGGAGGAGGACTGTGGAGTCCTTGGTGCTCTCTGAGCTTGGTGGATTTCTTGCAGACATTTCATGATCCAGCTAGGGAACATCATCAGTGCTAGAAGGGAGGAGGAGGAGGATAGGAACCTTGGTGATCACTGCCTTGGTGGTTTTTTTTGCAGACATTTCATGACCCAACCAGATAATAGGTGGAAAATAAGGGGAGGAAAAAGTATTAGGCCTCTTTGCCACCTTGCGTTATTTGTAAAAATAACAAAAGGCAGGATAGAATAAATAAAATTAAACAAAAATGAAACAACACTCCCGCCAAGATGGACAGGGCAAGTCACTAGTATATAAACAGGGAGCAAAGGACGTTCCCTTCTAGCACTGATGCAGTTATCTAGTTGGGTCATGAAACGTCTGCAAGAAAACCACCCAGCTCAGAGAGCATCAAGGACTCCACAATCTTCCTCCTCCTCTCCACAATCCCACCTCCCTTCTAGCACTGATGATGTTCCCTAGTTGGTTCATGAAACGTTTGCAAGGAAAGCACCAAGTTCAGAAAGCACCAAAGAATCCACACTTGTAATCCTCCTCCTCCTCCTCCTCCTCTTCCTCCTCTTCCTCCTCTTTCTCCTCCTTGCCCCCCCTTCTAGCATTGATGATGTTCCTTAGTAGGGAAATGAAGTCTGCAAGAAAGCCACCAAACTGAGAGCCCCAAGGACCTCACAATCCTTTTCCTCCTCCTCCTCCTCCTCCTCCTCCTCCTCCTCCTCCTCCTCCTCCTCCCCTTCCAGCACTGGTGATGTTCCCTAGTTGGGTCACAAAACATCTGCCGGAAAACAACCCCGCTCAGAGAGCACCCAGGACCCCACAGTTCAACCCAAAGCTACAGATGGATGCTTGGCTGCAACAAAATCACCTTTGATTGCCTTTGGGTGGACATTCCTTCCTCTTAATTTATTGACCTATTTTTATGCGATTTTTGTGTACGTTGCCAGATTCAAACTCACTCCAGCTGGGCCGTAGAGCAGCGCTTCGAAACCCATCCTTGCTGACACCTCCGCTAAAAAAAAACCCCAAAAGACTGGGACCCTTGTCTGGGTGGGATTTGGGTAGATCCACCCTGCAGGGTAGATGGCACTGCGAGTGGGGAGGGGGCTTCCAGGCGCTTCCTCCAGGCTCTGAGCCCCCAGCCCCAATCCTTTGTGACCAAAATCCTTGCCACGGCAGGTCGCCAGCAGCCGCGCTGGGAAGACTTTCTCCAGCGTCCCTGGGGAGTCCCTGGACGAGAAGCTGAAGCCGATGCTGGATTGGGCCACCCAGGGATTCAAGCCCGCCGGAGAAAAAGGCCTACGGCCCCCCAAGACATCTAGTAAGACCCCCCCCCCAGCAAAGGGCAGCTGGAATTGTTGGCTGTGACTACAGGGGACTGGGAATTGGCGATGCTGCCGACTTGCTCCTTGGGCTCAGCTGGGGTTTGGGCTGTGTGCTGCGTCCACCGGGGCCCTTTAAAAATGGATGATTGATTCTGGGAATTGGGAATTGATTATAAGCAATTGTGGGTGCCGGGAATGGATGCTAGGTGATGATACGACTATCGCAGTGGTTCTCAACCTTTTTAATGCCGCGACCCCCAACCATTGTAAGTCGAGGACTACTCAACTGGTGCAGCACCGTTTGCAGAATGGGACTTTTGGCAGGCTCAGCAGGGCAGAGACAGCCTGGACAATTCCTATTGGCTTTTGAAAGCCAATAGAATTAGACTCTTTCAAAAGCCAATAGAATAAAAGGGAGTAGCACAGCTAAGGAAAAGGGGGAAAAAATGGCGGACTGCATTGTTTGGCGACCCCCGTGAAATGGTCGTTCGACCCCAAATGGGGTCCCGACCCACAGGTTGAGAACCACTGGACTATCGGCAATAATGGGAATGGATTGTAGGCGAATATATGATTAAAAGTGAAACTGGGAGCAGATTGGAGGCAATTATGGGTGCCGGGAATGGATGCTGGGTAATTATACGATTATATAGGCAATAATGGGAATTGATTGTAGGTGATTATATAAAGGTGATATTGGGAATTGGTTCTAGGCAATTAGAGGCACTGGGAATTGATTATAGATGATATGATTATAGGTGAAGCTGGGAATTGATTATAGCAGTGGTTCTCAACCTTTTTAATGCCGCGACCCCCAACCAGTCGTAAGTCGAGGACTACTCCACCGGTCGTAAGTCGAGGACTACTCAACTGGTGCAGCACCATTTGCAGAATGGGACTTTTGGTGGGCTCAGCAGGGCAGAGACAGCCTGGACCATTCCTATTGGCTTTTGAAAGCCAATAGAATTAGACTCTATTCAAGAGAGTCTATTCTATTGGCTTTCAAAAGCCAATAGAATAAAAGGGAGTAGCACAGCTAATGAAAAGGGGGAAAAAATGGCGGACTGCGTTGTTTGGCGACCCCCGTGAAATGGTCGTTCGACCCCAACTGGGGTCCCGACCCACAGGTTGAGCACCACTGGATTATAGGCATTTATAGGGAATTGATTGCAGGTGGATTATACAATTATAGGAAATATTGACAATTGATTATAGGCATTTATAGACACTGGGACTTGATTATAGGGGATTTTACGATTATAGGTTTAAACCGGGAATT